CGTCGGCGGCATCCGAAAAGTTGTCTCCAGCAGCAGTGCAGTCCATCGATGCCGAGGGGGCTGCACGCCTTGACGGCCTTGCCGACGCAGTGAAGCAGGCTATGTCCCAGACTGTGAAGCTAGGCGACTGTGAGCATACTGACCCAGCACGAGTGTCGTTAGCATCTTCGGCCTCACCTACACTAGGGGCTACGCAAACTGATCGACTGAGTCTGAGCTCTTCCGATGGGCCAAAGGCTCATGAGAAGACTGCTGAGAAAGCTGCACCGAAAGGGGGGCGCAGTCCGAAGGCGGCTCCCCGTGCCAAAGCAAAGGGCAAAGCCAAAACCTCAGCCAAAAAGGTCAAGGCAGCGGCATCATCATCGCCCACTTCAACATTGAACTTTTATTTCCGAAAGCAGTAGCCAGCCCATGATATCAAAGGCTGGTAGGGATAGCCTACAATCGGTGGACAGAAGGTATGTTTGACGTAGTCGAGCATTTTGGCGCCAGCGCTTCAACTTTTATGCCTGCTACTTTTCAGAGCCCGACCAGACATTTCAACGTCTGGCGTGACAGTGCCATGGGCTACCCGGCCCTAGGCGGGCTCCAGGAATGTCAGGAAGGGAGGGAATAATGTCACTTGGCATCCAAACTTGGGGTATGAATCAGACTGACTACAACTAGTGATAGCCCTCAACTGCCCGAAACTCTAAACCGCAAAGCCCTAAATCCTCAGCCCCTAGACCGCTAGACCTAAACCCCTAAACCCGGTTTGCTACGCGCTGTTGTCGTTGCCATTCTGATCCGTCATCCTGAACCCTGTACTTGCCGCCACAGTTGAAGTAATGATCCAATCAACCCTATAGGGTTTAGGGTTTAGGGTTTCAGGCAAAAAGCCACCCCACAGAGGACCCTACCCATTCAGTACACGAGATTGTAACTGTTAGGTATTGAGGCCATTGACAGGTTGAGTAGTCAGCTAGAGCAATATCATTCATGGGAAAAATTCCAGTTCGCAGTAAGTATTGGAATTAACTACTCAGCTCATGGGTCATGTACATGATGGTATGGTGTTTTCAAAACGACCCACTGTGGCATAGGAAAAGTTATAGCTTGTAGTAGGTAGGGGTATTCCTTGCTGAGTTCATAGTTCATGTAAATGATGGTACGGTGCTTTCAAAACAGGCCACTATGTCACTATGCTGACGCCCTTCCCGTCCACATTCCTGCCACACAAGAAAGTCAAGCAGGCAACAATAGTCAGAATTGGCCGTAAATCTACGCCGCCGCTTATTATAACGAACCATAGACCTAAAAGATCCTAAAAGGACACGTGCTCATCGCATCATTAAAGTGGAGTCGTAGCATGTTTATGAAGTCCGAATTGCGTGCTGACTGACTACGTCGTGCCCACCGTGCATGGCAAACCACAGCCACCGTTAACATTACTGAGAGAGCTACTGCTGAAGAATTGGGCAAGAAAAGCGTGTGCGACAATTGCACAGACTGCGTGATTCACGCACACGTAGTCCACCACCTTATGTTTTACTGGACTTCTGTGACTAATGACCTGGAAAAGCCAAGGTTCTGCCAGTTGTTGCTGCGTTGGCAAGCGAGGTAACAGAAACGCAGCCCAGCGGAGATTGATGCGGGGTTCTTGCCAAGCGGGGGGTCACTTTCAGTAAGAAACGAAAGCCATAGGCAGAAGCCTCACACTGATGTTCCCGAGTGGAACACATTTCCTCAATGTGAATGTTATGGGTACACACCCCCAGCAGAAGTTTTAGTATCAACAACGCCCAAAACAAATATCCTGCGTCCCAGGAACCTTACTGATCACGGAGATTTGGATCCTGTCGTGGAGATCCCTGTCCGTAAGCGCAAGAGCATATACGGCATGCTCGTGCCTGGTCACGTGTCTAGCTAACTCGCGGGTAGCGATTTGAAAGGGTTCGAGGTTGAGGCTTAGTTTGTGGGGCCGTGAGCTAAAAGTCTGGAGCTTCGGTCTCAAGGTCACTGACTCAAGGGCTTACGGGTATGAATATAAAGATGTGCTATCAAGGTTTGGGGAATTGGGAAGTTTGGGGTCGTAGGTGGGCCATTTAGAGGCTCAGCTTGGATTCAGTTGGCCAATGGGGTCGAAAGCGAAGCGGTCCCGAGTGAGAGTGTATCTTGGAGGCCAATAATCGGAACTGCGTATAGCTATTGAGTAGGAGTACACTGGTACAGGGGGTCTATAGGAAGTGCTCTTGAGGACACTAAGGCTATATCAAGGGATTCTGCTTATGGCAGTAATGTACCTAGTACTTTTGAATTTTGGTGTCCGTCGTTTGTAATTTCAAGGCTCTAACACAACTTGCCCGAACCCCTGGACCCTTGCCTGTAGCGTTACCGTTACATGAGTAGTTGCCATTATTGCCGTCCGAATTGCAAAGCAAAGAGGCAGGTACCGAAGATTTGGTGTTTCAGTTTCAGCTCTTTTGCCTGCCAAACAATATTATATTGTTTCTAGGATCCCTTGTTTCAAAACCTATTACTGATTACTAAGCCCTCACCGCCCAAACCAAGCGTGCCCACCATGGAAATTACAGTCGTAGATGCGCCCACTTCCTAGATCAACAGATTAGGAACAAAATCCAGGCTCGGGTCCGGGGTTGAGTTATACTAACTTTTGGGAGTACGGCGGGAGGATATTATGCTCGTTCCAAATCAAGCTCTTAAATTTGTTTACTAGTAGACTTGTGAGGCCCATCCCCAGACCTCTGAAACGTCTCCTACGACGTTCTAGTACGCAGATAACCTTCGTCTCTAGCAGGGTACCGAAAGCTATAACCCCGTAGCACGTAGTAGTCTGATTTCGCCCAAGCCTTGCGATCAGGTGGTCGCCCAGGCGTTGAACGGCAACCTGGACTTGGTCTGGGGGAAGACCTTGCTGGACTTGCTACGCGCATGCATTAGGTTCAGACAGCAGGAGGTTTGGGCTGTTTCGTTCATCGTTTCCCATTCCCACACAATGACGTCTCAGATGAGATGTAGATAATTGCATTCAATTCGCAGCTGGGCTAGGCAGACTGGCTCAAGCGCGATGGAAGATTCGGATGTTAATCGGTTAAGCAGGGCAAACACGGGGAATCTCTGGAATGGATCGAATTCTATCCTATTACTTGTTGGTCAAGCTTTTTTCTAAGTATTTGTAGCTAGATTACCTAAAGGGCGGTACCTTGCAGCGTTGCATTTTTGCAACAGCATTACGATCATCATCCCAGGCGACCGGAAGTCCGCCTCCGCCCTCTGGAGGCAGACCAAGAAATGCCGACGCCCCAAGAGGGTCTTCGACCTCGCTACGCACGTGATCGTGCGCTCCTCACGGTAGCAACTGGGCTCAACATTATGAAGCTAGCACGTAGAGCTTTCGCATGTAACTTGAGAACAATTGACCACTTTGCAATAGTCAGCTGGGGTGCTCTACGCCCACTTCGGCATTATTCACGTCTAAGACTTAAAATCTAAGGCGGCAGACGAAGAGGCGTTGCCGTTTAAGACGATGCATTGCCTGGCTCACGAACTTTCTCTTCGCATGTTCTCCTACCCTGAGTCCACTCACCCGTGTTGGAACGACGCAAAAAACGCAGTGCGTCGTTCCTTCAAGCAACATACCATCCTCCTCGCGACGGTCTTAGCCAACATGGCTCACGGTCCATATGCTTCTGGAAGCAACTTGCAATCCCTCCAAGAAGCAGCGAGAGACCTCAGCCGGACGCTCAGCCCCGCTACTTTCGACATGCTCCGCGAGCAAATCGCGCAGGACCGTCAAGTCGACTCCAGTGACGCTTCCCTTCCGAACAATGCGGCGGACCTTCCGAACCTTCCCGGGATAAAGAACTTGCCACCCTATGCTGCTCGGGCTTCATTTTTTTTGGTCTGAATAGTGCGGCTTTTTTTCTAGGCGTACGCCTAGACAACTAGAATTTGTGTTCTTGTTGATTGAAGCCACCCTGAGCATTCAGTTCCGACTCATCAAACTGGGATTCATAACGTGTAGTGTAGTGGTAGATTGCATTAATCGTGACTTCATTCCTGCGTTGATGGTGATACAAGGGTAATCCACTCGTTGAGTGATTACTTTATTCGCAGGGCGAACCGAGGTCAAGTCGAAGTCCTGGTTTGCATCGATACAGTGTATGGATTACTTATGTGACAACTGGACGCTGTTGTCCACAGTTCTTGACCACGTCCTGGCAAGCGCTGACGATGACCCTTGGAATCTGCAAAATTTGTACGGTAGGCACTTGCGGACGACATATGATCATTACGTCATCCAAACATTCGTTTACCATAAGAGCGGCCAGGGACGGGAAGTTTGTTCAGAGTTGCTTCGGCCTAAATTGCTACCCGGAGTACTAGATTTATGAAGTAGCCTGTTGTGCCACAGACTGTCAGAATTTCAAGATACATTACATTGATTTATTAGAGTCAAAGTATGTCAAACAACCAGGGCCCCTACCGTTATTACTTACTTACTATGCACATAATACACTATGACTCCTAGAGGACGTAGATGCAGCAGCCCACTCATCAGTGAATCAGTCAGGCATCGCCGAATTCATGATCTTTGTCGGTCCCTGCTTTGGAATGTAGGAATGTTGCAAGGCTGTGCAAATTTCAAATGATGCTTCCATCCAGATCAGATTCAGATAGATGAGTGAATTGCTCCAGGACTGTAGCAGTCACGTGGACATCCAAGCTAAGCTAAGACGAAGTACATTGGCTTCAATTAGTCGTTGCTACAACAATGTAACAAGAAACACCAGGCGTCGTGGTTAGATGCATTTCTGTTTACTGCTATTTATTTTGCGCGCAGCCTCTAGCTAACCCTATAGGCCCTATAGCCTCCAGAAGTTAAGCCTGCTAACAATCACCTGCGTGTAGTTCTCAGCTGGGGCACTATCAAGTCTCAGGACGCCGATCCGAATGCGGGGTGGGCTGGCGAGGATGCCGAAGAGCGCGAGCCTCTTGGCATGCCTCAAACAAAGGCGGAATTGAACAAAATGCGCGACTCGTTTGCCAATACTATGCGTCTTTGTGCACACTTCTACCATGACCGTACACTGCAAGATGATCTCCGGATGGTCAGCACAGCTACGAAGCCGGTGATGAAGGAATACCATGATACACTCACGGGGCAAAAAACGGAGGACTCGTGTAGACCCCACCATGTAGAGTTTTTACAGTAGCCTGAGGTAATGGGGCTGGATTGCTGCTGGATCTAGGGTCAAGATCTAGGGTTTTGGGCTTAGAGTTTAGGGTGCAGGGTTTAGGCTTCAGGGTTTCGGATTTAGGGCTTAGGGCTTGATGATTTAGGATTTGGGTTTAGGACTTGAGGATTTAGATAGAAGGTTCATGGTGTAAAAGGGGTTGCGTGACCCGTTATTAGGGCTCAAATCATAAGTATCCAAGGTGTTGGCAGCAAAGCCCGGCATTCTACCATTCTCCGCAGATACACCCTTTTCCCCCTGCTTAATCCCTGAACCCCAAACCCTAAATTCTAAACTTCAACGGTATCCCAAATCAAAAACTCGAATCTCAACTTTTGAGCCTTCAATCCCGAGTACTTCAACTGTTGGGGTTTAGGGTTTACGGGTGACCTAGGCAACCAAACTAGAACAACGGCGGGCGGTTCTGAAAGCAGGAACTTCCTAGGCGAGGATCATCATCTACACAAAAAACAGGCTGGCTGCCATGGATCCCGGAGCCCAAAGCCCTAAACCTTAAGCCCGAAGCCCTAAACCATTTTTGGATATCCAGGTAGGGCTCAGGGCAAAAGCCCAATCCCAGGAATCCTCTACTGTACCTTGACTACATAGTGAAACCCCGAAAATGTATACGCCCTGAATCCCCATACCCCTTCAATATAACCGCATATCTTGTGGGCTGGTATACTAATCCCCTTCACCTTAGATCCCCTAAATTGAATACTCTCTAGGCTTTTATCTACACCCTAAACCCTAACCCCTCACTGACTGAAATTCCTAATGCACCCCACATACATTCACCGTGGGTCATAATCATAATGAACAACCCTAAACCTCGAAACCCTACACCCCAATAGCCAAAACCCAAAACCCTATATCCTAAATCTTACGCCCTAAGCCCTATACTAAACCCTAAATTCCAAACGCTCCTCATACCTCCTTCACCAAGTTTGAAGCTTGGTTTTGCTGTCTCAGCACGAGCTGCCCTCCGGCCATTCGGAATCCAGCTTGTGCCACCAAAACCTGTGGTTTGGGTTTAGGGTGAGGTTTAGGGTTGTCGGTTGGATGAAAGACTGGAGAAGCATATGGAGACCACACCGCCAACACCGCCACCACCAACGCCACCGCCACCACCACCACCGCCACCACCACCGCTGCCGCCACCACCGCCGCCGCCACCACCGCCAGCACCCCCAACACCACCACTACCACCACCAGCGGGAACTTTGCTCCAGCACCCGCAACAGACCACCACCGCCGCCACCACCACCGCCGCCGCCACCACCACCACCACCACCACAACCACCACCATGATGATGATGATGACGTCGTGGAAGCAGTGTGTTCGTGTAGCCAGTCACGTATAGAGGCATACGTAGACAGTAAGGTAGTAGCAGCGGAGTCGTTTAACCAGGGCCATGCAGTTTAAGACTACTATTTAATCTGCCGAACTGCACCCCAATGATTCTCGTTACATTTCCCGCGAGGAGTCTTCTGTGGAGTTCCAGGCGAAGCGTGCAGCAGGTGAGTGGTTCACCACCATAAAGAAGACACTTAAGCTGATCCATGACCCTGCAGCTTTGCGACGCTTCCACGTCACAATCTCACCTGGTGCGCCCGTCTTGCAGGAGGACCCCGAAACATCCGAACTGAGATGGTATTCGGAGGAGGCCAGGAAGCTTCAAGAGTTCTGGACACTTCTAGTTGAGTTAGCCGCCGCTCGGGCGTGGAGCCAATGTCAATATGCGCATTGTCTACCCAACGCTTTTGCTGTTGCCCTCCATCCCAACACTTTGGTCGCTGACCGGTCCCTACGCGAGCAACGCCGAACATGGCTTGCAGTGCTACAAGCCGAGAGACTCGTGGCAAACGGGGGTCTCGAAGCTGGGGACCAGCAACTCGTAAAGCAACTCCTGGTGGACATCGCTTGGAACAGGCTACAAGTTGCTCGAGAGATCTACCTTGTTGGATCTGAAGCTGGGTGGAGTAGCCAGAACCCCGAGGTCAGGGAGCAAGCGCGGCTGCTCTGCAGCGGGCCAGCAAATACCAAATATGGGTGCGAAGACGTGTTCGCCCATTTGGTGTCTGTTGGAAGGGCCAGCAACATGACGGTCGCAATGAACAAGCTTTCTGCTCTGGTGCTATGGTATGCTTTTTTGTTTTATCCGAAGACTCTCTCTCTCTCTCTCTCTCTCACTCTCTCTCTCTAGGGTTTAGGGTTTAGTTAGGGTTTTGGGTTTAGGGTTCAGGGTTTAGGGGCTTTGGGCTAGCGCATCTCAGAGCTTCAGGTCTTGCTATCATCAATTGTCAACGTGGTAAGCCAATAACAGCTAACAGAGTGGACAGTTGCTGGCTTCTCTTTCACAAATATTCCTGAGTCATAATAAGTTCTTCCTGAGGAGCAAGCCCGTGCATCATAGTACATACCCCGAACTACGAACCCTGTATCCTGATTCTGTAGCTTAGCTAGGTGGACTCGCTTTTTCTACTGTACGTCTATGCAGAGAATGACAGAGTGGCCGGAGATCACAACCACGCTCAAAGATCACCAGGACTTCCAAACCCGTGCGGCGACCGACCCGGTCTTGGCTAAAGTTGCTGGCAAGGTTTTCCGGAGCAATGACGCCAAGAAGTTAGACCCAGAGATACGGGCCGGCATCGTTCACATGAAGCAAGAGACTGCCAAGAAGGCTGGAACGCAATCCAACCAACGAGCGGCAGCCGCCACTATCTGGGCAACAGCGAACGCCCAGAACAACTTCGCGAGCGCGAGCATGGCGTGGGCAGGCGCTCCATTCTAACATGCAGGGATGCTATTCTAGCATTAGCCTCCCGTTTTTACTGCCTTCCTTAATGTAAGCGTATTTGAGGACCGCAATAGTAATAGACTGTATAGACTAATAGAGTTGGGATTCGGAAAGGTGTCCTTTTGGCCTATTTGCCTTTGCAGCTCTGCTACTGTTTCTAATTGGAATCTACCATACAGTGTCCGGTGCAACCGATATCTGCTGAACTTACCCCAGTGCAGCCTGGCGAACACGCGGATACGCGAAGGCTCTGCACGGCAGCTATGACATCTCCGCCTCAACGCCCCCACAATGCTTAACATTGTGTATGCCAAAGTAGAAGGAACGTGTGTAGCAGTAGGCGCTGAAGGTTAAGGGGCCCGCTTGGTAATAATGGCTTTGTGTTGATTAGTTGTCTTCTTGATTCCTGGGGACAGCCACTAGAAATATATTGGCCTGTAGTCCTAACCTTGTGACATCGAACCGCCGAATGTCGCAGGGGAACGCAACCATGCAAAACCACTTATGATAATCTCGCAGCCCCCCAAGTCTTGATCCCAGGTAATCATAGTGCAGTGGGCTGGGAAACATTTCCCTAAAACTTGGCAATATTCAGAGGTACAATTCCAAGGTCCTACACTGCAAGTCTTGGTGTAACCAGTGTAGGGTAGATGCTGTTCAAAACGTGATGCCGTTTCGATTTGGGCGAGCAACGTTTCCCATACATGAATCTGAATAAGGAATCCTAACCAAGCGACTGCAGACTACTAAGTGAGTTCCAGGCTGCAGGAAATGGTAAGAAAACCCCCGCCAAATTCTTCAATTGATGTATCACGATTTCAGGACATGGTGTAGTTAGCTCAGGTCAGGTCGTACAGTCGTGAGGGTTAGATTTAGGATCCCACCTGGCAGGAGTCTTCATGCAGAAGGGAGGCATTCTCGTGAACAGGGACTCGGAGACAGCAGTTCTGTGCCTCGGGTTCCGGGACTGGGCTGCGATGGGAGTGCCCTAGAAATGCACAAGCTTCCAGCAGACGGGGGCGGAGTCACTAGGCTTCAGGAAATTGCCGCATCGTACTGTAAGTAAGACAGTAAGGGTGACCCGACCACAGTAATATGGATTGATCGTGTACTTGATAAGGGCTTGCCTGTTGTCCCCAGTAAATTTCACTGAGACAGCCTCCCTTAATCATAGCGTAAGCAGTGTGTAGGTTTAGGGGGTAAGTGGCGCGTCTTTGCCTGCTAGCCCAAGATATTGCACTGACTAAACCCTTCCTTAAATCACGGCTGTTCTAACCATTCCACGGTCATAAATGACAATGGCAGAATCACTTCCATGAAGCTCGTCCGTATGGTCAATATATATATATGCGTCACAAGTAGTTCATCCGGATCCGGGATGTTATTTTGGTTGACGTAGTTACGCTAAGGTCAAGGTGTTCTTTACGGTGAACGTGCCCGCTCAGCATCGGTTGCCCTCATGGCTCATGAACGACAAGTTGGAAGAGTCCCCGTGGCGAAGATGTCACTTCAACGTGATGCACCCGCTGGCAGTGCCAAGGGAGTTGCGGAAGCACTGCGTCGTGCTGGCGCAACGTGGTGAACCAGAAGATTTGGTGAGAGGCGCTGTAAGGCACGGCGTCTTTTTGGATATGCCGCAGCTTGAGCAGTTGAAGGGTCACTATAGCTTGCAGCTTCCTGAGAAGCCCAACGGGCACGGAAAGCATGGGAACATCGTCAAACGAGACTTCGCAGAAGCTCTCGTCAGGCACTTATTCAGGGATGACGCGACAAATGACATGGTTGACCACATCTGTGGTCGAAGTCTCAACGGGCTCGGCACAGCGTCGAGACACACTGCCGAGCTCCTTACTGCTTTTGGCTCTCTGGACAAGGAGGATCAGCCTGAGTTCAGGCGGTTGCGTGATGTCGCCGAAGATGAAGAGAAACTTCAGGAAGCCCGCAAAACTCGCGCGGATCTTCACTTGCCGCATGCGCCGCGTCAGCACGAGACCCCCAAGGAGTTGCACACTTTGCTACCCGCTGGCCCTGCCTTCACATGCAAAATCAATCGCCACCCCGCGGCACCGAAGAGGTACCAGGTCAGCTACATGGACAAGTCGACCGGAAGCTTGTGCTGATTAGCGCTGCATCCTACTCAGGTTTAGGGTTTAGGCTTTAGGGTTGTTCTCCTTTTAAGTATTCTTGCAGGACCAACTGTCCACTTCACTGCCCCAACCCCACTGAACGACATGTAGTTTGCTATTTTTCTTACATAGTAATAGGCCAGAAAAGTTTATCCATTAGTCTAGTAAGAACGCGTGTCAATCAAGACCACAGACAGTCTTTTGAAAAGTCAGCCCTCCCAATGTTTCTCGGTGTGCCCTGAAGTTGGGAGTTTCAAAACCCTACACCCCTGATCAAGGCCCAACGCAACCACCCCAAGCCTGGCAGCTCAGGTACAACGAAGTCGCGAGCCATGTCCTGGGGCGGAGTGCGCAACGCTTTGCTCGAGCATGAGGCTCTGCAGAAGGTGATCGCTTGGATTTGGAAGAGGGTCAAGAAGAAAAAGTACGTGATTACGGAGGGTTCTACTCAGTGGGCTCCCCAGTCGTTTTACGTTACACGGCAGTGTGACAACTTTTCCCCTAACCGACTCAACTGTTTTTGGTGCTTTCCTCTAATAGATTCGGTTGAGGCCTACAGCAGCAAAGATCAAGAATATGGTCCTCAACTTCACACCAGGGACGGGCTTCCTGGAGAAGGATGGCTCAGAGGGCAAGGGCCAGGATGCAGAGAAAGCAAGGAAGCTGAAGCGCCCCCGTAGGGGGAAGCCCAAGGCTAAAGCTAAGGCTAAGGCAAAGGTGAAGGCGCCGTCAAAGCCGCCGCCGAAAGGTAGTGCGAAAGCAGGCCCTTCAAACGAAGGGCCTGGCAGCCGTCGTAAGCGCAAGCACGAGCCCGATGGCTGAAGCAGACATGAGTTGCATGCATCAGTCTCAAAATCTGGGAGCTGCAAGTTTCCGTACATAGGGAGCCCCAAGATAATAATATACTTTAATTTGGAAACATACTCTATTAATTAGTAGTACCCTCAAATGATGCACCTAATGTAGGGAAATCCCCTGTGACCTGTGCCGTGCACGTCGGCTGGACAAGGTTCGGGGCTGATGCCAAATGGGGGTTGTGAGGGCGCTGCAATGTGAAGGTCTTAGTGTTTATTTTGATGTAGTCTTCATCTTCAGTCAGGAACTGGCAAGGAAATGGCAAGCTATTGGGTTTGATTCTGGTTAGTGTATCACGAGGACCTTTAAGATTTTAGAGAAGGTGGGGGAGGAACCGGGGGGGGAGGTTAAGGGTTCGTGACTAAATGGTGGTTTCTGTAGGGAATAGGACCAAGGTGGCCTTAAATTGGGAATCAACATTGTTCTATATTGCCCTGTAAAAGGAGGGTAAGGAAATCCTGTCAGTAACAACTCAAGCTTCTACCGTTTTTATGTGCATTTGTTGAAATAACGGTCTCTCATTTGGCAATTGCTGTATCCAGGACTGTGTACTTTTGTACCCTACCGCAATTGGCGAAGACCAGCATAGAGGTTGAAACAGAGATTTACCGTGCAAGGCTTCTAGTTGTTCAACCAATACGGGAGTTTCTCAAAACTCAAAACTAGCCCTATTCAATCGCTCATACGGACCCCATACTTGTCCTAGGATCCCTTGATACCCCTTAGTTCCCTGGACACTCCTCTTTTCAGAAACCCCCGCATGTCCTTAATTAAGGCCTTTCTCCATACATTGGGGTTTGTTTGATGATTCTGAGAACCCCACATATCCTGCAGCGCTGGGTTCGGCGTGAAGATCTTTTGAAGTGACTTTGCAGTTGCCCAGAATTTCCACTGCCTTGTGCTGGCAGCCACATCTGCTTTTACCTTCCCAGACCCGGTTACAGCTACTGTGAATGGCAGGAAAGGTTGCATCACATTGCTCTGCCTCTTAATTATAGCCGAAAAATGATAAATCGGGATACTTTGGGGATCTCTTCATCCAGCCTGCGTAATGTTCAAGCCTTATCGTGCACTGCAAGCAAAGAGAGCTGTTGAGTTGTCAGGGGTAAAGATAGAAGCATGCCAGGAGAAGCGCCGTCAGTGCAGCGCCCCTTTGCAGCAGCAAGCTTCACTTATTGGTTCTTATATAGAAGGGGATAAGGGAATATACTATATAGGGGTTATGCAGGGAGTATATTCACTTCTTCCCTACTAAGGACCAGTAAGTTCAGCAGGTATGGGGGCGGGGAGTTCGTACAATTTCAGGTCCCTTGTGGGGAGGTCTAGAAGAAGGATCCTTGCAGTTGGTTTGCGGTGCCTAGAAGTCGCTGGGTTGCTGTTGGGAAACTTAAACTAAGTTGCTATAATGAGAAAACCTTCTAATTAGCTATATACCCAAATTATGGTAACTTAACTTAAGTTCCCTGAACCCTAAACCCTGAAGCGTAATCCTTAAGTTCGTTTAGGGCTTAGAGCTGTGGATGCTTGTAGAGTGAGCTTGTGAACAACTCATGAAGATGGAGCTCCGCGGGTTCCTACTGTACTTGGAGGGTCAGGGGCACTTAGCAAGTAGGTAAGACTGGGCATAAGTAGGGTTAGTGTATGGTTTAAAGGGGTTATTAAGTACTTATGAAGTCCTCCTGACCCTCCAAGCAATGACAGTTGCTATACCAGCGGCTGCAAAGAGGGTGGAGATATAGATCAAAAACCGTCACGTTTGCGATCTCACTCTGACCTAGCTGGCATTGCATAAGAAGAGATACCTGGGAGGATGTGGCCTACATCCCCACCAGTTTTGAATCATAGCTTTCATCACCAAGCGTGTTTTCTGACCAGCAAAGGCCAAAGAAACCCTCACACGATCGAGTTGGCATGCAGGCCCCCCAAATTTTCATTCGATCCTAGTAGTGGCGGGGCTCCACCATTACATCTTGGTCAAACCACCACAGCCACCGAGTGCCAATCATGGTTCCCAAGCGGTAAGCCGCGAACTTCAAAGCTTGAATAACGCAAAGCCTGAGCTTTGAGAGTTTAGGCTTTGTAGGCTGGACCCTGCCCTCTCCACATTGTAGGACCCTATCGTATCTATATCATCCCCAAATCGTGAACCCTAAACCTTATCTTTGTAAGGAGACCTGCCGGCGAATGGCACAGCGCTGGCAGAAACAGCAGAAACGCAAAATGGCGCCTCCCACAGGCCTGGCTTCGTAACAGGGATAAGGCATACAGCTTCAGGGATATTACCCCAATAATAGAGAACCAAATGGAAAGAACATGGAACATGACATTGAAACTTTACATAGGGGCTTATAGGTTTTACATTCTGTGTTAAGGATGCGTAGTTCGGGGGTTGGTATTTCATTGGAAGCGCAGTGAATGATGTTGAAAACCGGCAAGAACTCAAGAGTCAGAGTTAACTCTAACGCCCTAAACCCTATACCCCTAAGCCCTTAAACCCCTAAACCCTTAAACCCTAAAGTTATAGCAGCCTCAAGGGCATGAAGGACATGTGTAGTAGTAGCACCAGCAGCTTAAACTTTATGTTCATGGTAGTAACCCAAGAGGATGCAACTAGAGTGGCGGAAGCCCTAAACCCTAAACCCTATGAGTGAGGATGCCACTTCTGGTTAGAGCCCTAGAGTTTAGGGTTTGGGGTTTAGGATTTCCACCTCTTCTTATTGCTAGTACCACAAAAACTATTACTAGGACCACTCCCACCACCACCTTCGCTGAGCGCGGCTTTGAGATTCAGCAGTTTCCGAGAAAATACGGGTACCCCAAAATAGACACCAAAATACAGAAGTCTTTATTAAGGGGACCCCCAAAATGGAACCCAACCAATTTGGGGAGACCCTATGCCCAATAAACCCCTATGTAATCCCAGCTTCCATTTCACGTCCCTTTTTCTGTTCCATGTGATTCTCCATTATTTGGGGATAACACGCCCTAAGCCCTAGACAATATACATGTGTATATATATATATATCCATAATAACACTATACAGGTACCCCCCCTTTTGGGAAACCCCCATTTAGCATAGTGGATTAGCACCCACAACCTCTCTGGAGAGCGTGAGTAGTCGTCCAGAATCAAGAGGGCTTCAATGACCATGGCGAAACCACAAGTCTGCAAATTGCGCTTCATCGTTGCATTTCCAACATGCAATGAAAGCACATGTTACCGCTCAGCCACCACTGCCGCCACCACACCCGCTGCTAACAGCTAAAGCTGGTTCCTTCTTCTTTCAGAAAGCCAGGAGCTGGAGGCTACGCGCGAGAAGCGGGAATGGGCATAATTTGCGCATGCAAGATTCTCCTGTAATGTCAGTAATATTTGCGGCTTTTCAACATGATAGCAGAGGTCTAGTTCTCATGATACGACTCCCAGAAAACAACTGCCTCCGCACAAATCCCTACTTCTCGAGCATGAAATCCAAGAAACGAATATCTACCCTTCTAATCGAATCCCCAAATCCTGGGTAAGAAAACCCTCAGACCTAAAGTCTTTAAACCCCGGACCTCAAAAGCCTTCGAACCAGCCAAACCCTCAACACTAATCCTGGATCTCAGTGCGCTCAAAAGGTGTCATCAGCCAGGTGGGTTAAAGGATCCCTATTGTAGATTCTACTATATTGGGCTTATTCCCTTTACCCCTAAACCCTAAACCCTAAACCCTACCTTCATCCCACCTTTGGAGCCCCCTTGATGAACCCTGCAGAGTAGGTTCTCCGGTGCACCATGCAACCGCCCGAGAGGCTAGGGTCGGAGGATCCTTTGCCTCTCCTTGTGTTCCCTAATGGGCTTAAAGGGTTTAGGGGTTTAGGGTTTAGGGTTTAGGGGTTTAGGGTTTAGGGTTTGGGGTTCAGGGTTTAGGGTTTAGGGTTTAGGGAATCCAGGATTTGGCCTAATGTAATCCCAAGATAATCCCAATATAACCCCAATATAACCCTAAGTTAACCCCAATCTATCCACAATATACAAAAAGGGTTAAGGGGGATTGGAGTTGGGCTTTGACTTACTTAGCCAATCGAAGAACTTGAACCTTTTCGGGCTTCCTTTTTGGGTCTCTATAATAATGCTAAAGCTTTT